AAACGGATCGTTGTAGAGTTCCATCTAGAGTACCCTGAGATTACGCTGTCAAACATAACTTCAATGTCTCGTCATGTCGTTGCATTTTAAGACCAATCCTAGTTTCGTCTTCCCTCGACTGGTGCATGGGGTTTCTTGCCTTCTTTACTCATATTCCATCAATACTTCCGCCTTTCTTTGTCATGTAAACACAAGCTTCAACTGTTTAATGGTCAATTTCAGCTCTCAATCGCAAAATTTAAACATATTTTCTGCTTGTGGATCTGAAAAAAAGGCCCCATTTTGATGGAAAAAGAGAAGTGGCAGGATAAATAGATGCCTTGCAAAGCTAAGCTATAGCGGTTCATAATTGCCATTAAATTATGTGTTATTCACACCAAAGTATGAATTTTAGAAGGCTTTTTCGCTCAGTTGTCTGAAGAAGCACAATAACCTACAGTTGTCAGACTAAAACCTATTCACTCCAGATAGCTTAATGTGAGTTAAGGAATGGCAGTTGAGTTTTTCTCACGATCAAATGAGTAAGCGTAAAGATGCCATGGAATTCCACTTAGCCCAGCCACCGTCTGATCAGCGCCCATAATGGGATTCAGAACCATGCAGCATATGGGAATTTCAAGGCAGACGAAGCCTTTCCCAATAAACGTCTTTAGTGAAAATATTGAATAGACAAACATGTGTTTGAAAGTACAAACTATGGCATTACTTATTCTTAAAATGAGTATTTTTTGGAAACATCGGTACTTCCTAAATAGCAGTCTTGTTCAGATGAAGCGCTTAACGGAGTAGCTTCCACAAGAAGTGACAACCAGCAAAATTATATTTTTTTAAGTTGTAAAACTGTATCTTACTGATAGCTAGTTAACTTGTAGACTGAATGATTCCGTGTCTAGTTGGACTCGTGAAATTTGTCGTGTTAACCAAATCTCCAAGTTAGTTGTCAGGACGCTCATCCTCAGTCTCGTCTTGCCAACAGGGGCACTTAGATTCCTCGATGTTCTATATTCAAGAAAGGCGAATGCCTTCCGTGTCTTGCAACACTCTGCCCGATGATTGGTACTAGGATTGGCCAAAGTATCAACAATCTGATGACTTCATCAGTTAAATGTTGCCAAGTCTCACGTACGTTCGCTACCACACGCACACAAGTATAGGTATCCTAATTAATATGCAAGACAACCAACCAACTAATTGTATATCCATTTAAGGTGACGCAATCTGAGAGACATCCTCACTCGTTTCAGGTTTAATAGTTTACGGATAACATCAGAGCTGGAAATCATTCTTGCATTTGCTTCAAGTTAACTTTTAGTCCTATCCGCTTATTGCGTGCTCTCATTTCCACCATTACGTACGTCAACACACACATACACACATATACATATATATATATATATAGAGAGAGAGAGAGAGAGACACACACACATAAGTTAAAGTACTCTGATTATTATGAAAGAGAATTATCCAAATCTTTCTAAATCTATTTATATTCATATATTTTCATTTAATATTATAAGTCAATATGACATTTAGGGTAGAGCCAGAGAGTCTTCCTTACAGATTGCCAGCGTGAAATTTTTGCCAGAATGAGTTCCAGCTCTGATGATGCCCGTCAAATGGCAGGAAGGATACAATCTCAGACCGTTTTCAAGTGCAACGAAGGAGAATGCTTCCTTAACTGCATCAACATGAAAATTTTCTTAAAGCCAAAAAGCTGCGGAGCAAAAGGGGTTTTGTTGTCGTCTTCTGCTGAGACCTATCAACAAATCTCCTTAACATGAATTTTTATGTGAACTGAAAGTCTCCACAAAAATGTTGTCCAAAAAGTTATGAAGGTCCTTGGGCTTCGAGTCTTCATCCGATGCCCATTTTAGAGGACTTCCTGACAGTTTGTCATTATCCCATTCACCAGATCCTCCCAGGCCTTGTCAGCGTTTAGCTAAATTAAGCCATGAAGTAGGATACGGCTGCCGGTAGCAACTATTATTCTCAAAGTCACCGTTGACCTTATTCTCTTTCAGTTCGTTTCACTGGCAACCTGACGAGGCGGCAGACGCTGCAGACGTTCTACGAGTGCGACGGCAGCGAAAGCTGTGACGACCCTTTGAACCGACAAAGACCACGTTTCCTGGACCAATAGTCTCCCGTTCGTGCGTCTCATGGAACGCCGGGAAATGGTAGAATGCCCGGCCGGTGAGCAGGACCAAGCTGAAGCGAGTGTGAAAAGGGAAAGTGACATGTCAGCCGGCCACTCAGCCGGAGGACAAGTGGCTGGACGAGAGCTCGACGATGAGTGGAAAAGACCAAATCCGGATCTACCGACGTGCTCTTCGGCCGAAAGCAAGCCCGACTGCCTCACCGCCTCCTCGACCAGCAGACAAAACGGTTCCGAGGGCAACTGTCCGTCTCTACCCGCTACCTCTTTCGTCATGTGTGACCCTCCTGCGACTGCATCTTCGGCCTCCACGACCCGAATCTGCCAGTCGGCAGGTCCGGTTCCCGTGGACACCAATTTCGTCTGGCCGACAACGCCAAGGGAATGGTCGCAGCTCATCGATCGGTTGCTAGCACGAGTTGACAACATCGCCCGTATTGCCGGAGACACTGGCCAAGTATCCTCAAGCCTCCCGCTAATTCTGCAACAGATCACCTCGGCTTTGCGGCTGGCCGTGCCTTTGAGCGCGGTAACCACGAAGCATGAGTTTGAATCCGAATCCGAATCTGAATCTGACGAGATGACGGCCCTCTGTACTGCCCCGGCCGAGATGGCCGCAGTGAAGAGTCCAGAAGGTGACGGCGAGAGAGTGAACGAGGGCAGAGTCCCGGAGGGGATTGTGGGACGTAAGTCGCCACCCGAAGTGACCAGTTCCGTCGTTTTTGGGAATGCTGTGAAAAAATCGCACCAACAGCCAACTGAGGGTCCAGTTTCCGAGGCCTCTACAGACGATGTGGTCGACAAGCGACACAAAAGGCTTGGCCTCCACGAAGGAGGCATCATCGTCCAGGCGGCCTCTTCAAAGAAACATGACGACCAGAAGCTCCAGAGAAAAGCTGTTTCATCTCGTGACTACTGCAGCACGATTGAGCAACTGGACAGGCGGCTAGCCTTTTTGTTCGACAAAATACTTACGGTTGGTTAGACTGGCAAAATTTAGCGTTTTACAACATACTCATTTCATATAAGTAGTATCGTGTATAAAATCAAAGAATAATCAGGCTAATGAGTAAGGCTTAAATGAGGGTGGCTTTAATAAAGGCCTGGCCATATCGCCTACGCATGCAAAGTATACATTAAGAGAGATTAATCTGGACATTGGCTAAACATTGTTTTTGAAAGATACGGTTACATTTAAACAAAAACGCTACCCTCGAGAAGCTGGGCTCGGGCAAAGGCTTCATTCGATTTTAATTTTCTCGAACATTATTCCTTCCATATACAGAAGTTTCAACCTGCATTTCATCCACTCGAGCAAGAGTGATCCAGCCTCGCCTCTTTTTTTGCTTTTCTCATTTGTCCACAGCATTTAACTGTGCGGGTATACTTTTTCATTTACGCAAACTAAGGTTTCTTTTGTTGTCAAAATTAGTACAACTCGAATGTGCTAATAAACGTCTGTCTATTATTTGGCCGCATTAGTCTTCTGGGTGAGAGCAAGACATTGCTCTCTCGTGCCTGGCTCCGGCGGGCTAAAGCACTTCTAAACACACGGAATATGACATGGTTGTCGTGGAAATCGGTTCTACTTTAGCCAGCTTAATGATGCTTTCGATGTAAAAAATAACGCTTCGTCCTAGTCATGCCCGAAAAGTGGAGAAAGCTTACTTAGTAAATGAGTCTGATCATGTCCGACATTTTTGCATATTTGAGTAATTTTAAAAGTAGCAGAGTACATTGTAGATACGAAGAGAAACTTGGTTTCGATGAATCTCCTGAGATAACATTGTTAGGGGGACCTT